AAAGTAAAAATAATTTATATGACATACAATAATCAATCGTTAATGATTTTGCTAAGTGTTAATCTTCATGCGTGTTGCTTGGAGGCACAAATAAAATGCATATGACTGTCGTTTGTGCGATATTCAGAAATGTAAATTTATATTCTTATAAGTTCTAAGGATAATTGTTTTGACAATGTTGAAAATTAACATCTTACCCCCCATGCTCTTTTTCTCTCTCATAAAGGGGGGGGGGGGGAACTAAGGCCCTTAGGTCAAACTTTATGTTTTAAAAGTCCTTATAATTAACCGATTAAGTATGACTTACTGTGGTGAGAAAAGGTTAACCGAGCCCCCATTTTTCACCTCAATTTTTAAGAAAACCATAAGGTGCACTATAGAGTGCACTTCTTACTATAGACTGCACACCAATCTTCACATAAAAACACCAATTTTCACCAATCTACACACCAATCTTCTTACTATAGACTGCACACCAATTTTCACCTCAATTTTCACACCAATCTATAAAGTGCACTTCTTACTAACATATTATAAAAAAAACCTAAAAAAATAAAAATAAAAACACATAAAATAGCAACTCAAAAGTGCATTTTCAGGCAATTTTGCCAAAAAACAACTTCATCAAAATTTCAGGATTTTCAGGATGATTAACAACACAAATTCTAATAACTTAAATGATACTAAATTTGACATACAACAAGCTTGTCCTAAAACAAAAACAGGCAAAAAATAATAATAAAAAAAAACACAAAATTTGATCCCGAAATCCTAATTTCAGGATCATTCATCGTTACCAAGGGCCAAAAAGTGGGGGTCCCCGTTAACCACTTGTGACTGTGGTATATGCTAAAGTGCCTTAGCAATTCATTCCTTTCGTGGTGGTCATGGAGGAGTGAGGGTTGAGTGACAGGCGAGGTGATATTGAAGCTTAGTCGAAAAACCATGATATCATGGAGCAGTGTAAAACTTTGAGGGCATATACCCGCCCTATTATTTCGTTTTGTTGGTCCTTGTATTTGTTTTTGCCAAATATTTGTGATCTGATTTGTTGTTCAATTTCTTTCAATTTGCGCCTCGACATTTCATGTGTCAAGTCCTTTTACTATTTGACGCCTTGGCATAAGGCAGTCTCGACCAAGTTGCCTGGCTCAATTGAGTTACATACCCGGGTTCGAACTATGCTGAAAGCATTGAAAGCAGGCAAGTTAAATACTACAATTATGAATTACAGAGGGTCAATCAGTTGTATGATAACGTTTCAAGGATGTCTCCCTCATTTTGTTTTTTAAAAGAGGGGAGAAAATGAAGGCATCTTATTGGAAATCATTCGGGTGGGAATAAGCGGCGTAACTCAATTGGTTAGGTATGCAAGTGACATTCACGTGGTCGTGGTTTCATTTCCCACCGACTACCTGTGACACTCTTGGTGCTAACCAACTGATATAGTTGGCTTGCTACCCCTCTTTCGGTATTGGTGGGGTCGTTGGCCATCACGAGTGTGCGTGTGTGTGGGTGGCGGTTGTGTGTGGTGTGCGGGAAAGTGCTGGCCATAGACACTCTTGTTACCCGATAGGGGCAGGGGAGTGTTGGTCATAAACACTGATGTTACTCGATGGCGGCGGGGGAAGTAGATGGGAGGTGCAACTATTGGCAAAATGCTCCTTTGCGTTAGTCGCGCCCCGCCCTCCTTCGGCGACCACACCCTACTCCCTCAACACCGCTTATTAGGGCATGGGTACCCTGTATAGGCTTAGGAGCACTGGTAGTGAAAGGTGAGATTGAGATAATAATATGGCTTAGTTTTTTTAAAAGAAAAAGGAAATCAACAGGGTGCATGGACCATGTTCCACTTCGTCCGTTGAGATAGGTCCAAGTTTCGACGGAGATGCACGTCCTCGCAATCATCCAACGGTCCATTATTTTTTTAATTATGAATAGCGATTATTGCATGTTTTCTTCCAACAAAACAGTAGCGAAAATGTCGTTTTCTCGAATGTTACGCCCCCTACCCTCGCAACTTTCCGTTGAGCTAGTTGTCACTTTTTTTGGAGACAGCTAGTTCAACGACAGTCGGCCTTTTTTTTTTCTAGAGATTTTTTTACTTTTTAATGTTATTTTATTATGTTTGGAGAAAAAATTGAGGTCGTTTGTGATTTGTTATTTTTATGCGACGTTTGAAAGATCAAGTATGTGTTAACTACGGGAATTCGACAACTCTTCATAGGATCGGAGCAACTCGAATTCATTGTTGTCATGGGCGCCTGTACCTGTCTCCGTTATTGGGCAGATTCATGGAGAGGCGTCCTTGGAATCCGTCCAGATTCAAGCTTTTTTTTTTTTTTTTCCCATTGTGCGGAATATTCATGGATAGCTGTCGATTCAAGTTATGGGCGCCTGTATCTGTCTCGGTTATTGTCATGGGCGCCTGTACCTGTCTCCGTTATTATCATGGGCGCCTGTATCTGTCTCCGTTATTGGGCAGATTCATGGAGAGGCGTCCTGTGAATCCGTCCAGATCCAGACATATTTTATCCATCCATGATCTGATCTCTCTCTCTCTCTCTCTCTCTCTCTCTCTCTCTCTCACGTAGCATCGTAGCAGCTTCATACACCCAACATCCGTTATGGAAGTGCAGATCGATACGTCTTTGTTTCTTTGCTCGTCATCCTCTTCGCTGTCTTCATTTCAGGCTACAGACCGCGGTACAACGCCCCCCCAGCGGTACAACCCCCCCCCCCCACCACAACACACACACACACACACACACACACACACACACA